TAAAAATAAACACAAAAAATAATATATATTATATATTATATATATATTATATATTATATTATATATTATATAATTATATAATAATTTAATATATAACATATTATATAATTATATAATATACAATATATAATATATAATATGTTATATATTATATTGTATTATAAATCTTACTATATATATAATACTCTATATAATAATATATAGTAATATGTGTATATAATATAGAATAGAATAAAATAGAATAGAATATATTTTATTATTAAATATATACTATATACTATATACTATACTATATATATACTATACTATATACTATATAGTATATATATAGTATATATTATATATTATATTCTATATAATATAAAATATATAGTATGTAGTATATAGTACATAATATATAATAACATAGCACAACATAACAATAAATACAATGTATCATAATACAATATGATATGATATGATATGATATGATATGATATATTAGTAAAAAATATATTTTTATATGTATTTATTATATATATTTATTAATATATATTATATTAATATAATGATATATATATATTAAATACATTTATTTACTTACAATTATATATATATATACACATATATATATACATATATATGAAACTGTACATCTGAGAGCATTGTTCCAACACTTCTTGGACTCTGCCAGGCTTGGAGCTGTGGGGAGGCTGGGAGGCACCGCAGGGCCATGCCTGGGCACGGGGCCAGGAGGAAACCACCGTCTTCCTGCCCGGGCGCCATGTCACGTGGGCTGCGGTTTGTGCACCTGCAGTGGCAGGCAGGCTCCAGCTCCCGACCCGCCGCGGGGAATAACGGCCCCTGGGTGACACGCTGAGAGCCACGGAGACGCCTGAGGCTCTGGGCTGCAGCTCTGCTGCCAGGGCAGGCCCTGGACCAGCTCTGGCTGCTGCCGGGACCCCACAGGAGGCTCCCTGGGGAGGGACGGGACAGCCAGCACCCCCATCATGGGGCTCTGGCCCTGCCCAAGGGCCTTTCCCAGCTGCTGCTGCCAGCACAGCAGGGGCTGTAGCAGGGGCAGGGGCTGGTCCCTTCCCAGCCTGACACAGCCCTGCTGCAGGACCAGACCTGAGGATCCCATGGCGCAGGGCTGTCCGGACAATCGCACCTTGGGCTCTTGGATGCTACAGCTCAGGAGATGCTCCGTGCTCCCACAGCAGGCTGCAAGGGGTGTCAGAGCCATCTGCCCCCACACCCAGCCCTACCCCACGATGATCTCCCACCGCAGTGACGTGAGAGCCGCAGCGGAGCCGTCCCTCATATATGGTCATGAAGAGCGCTGGAGAAGTTCATTGGAGAGCTGGGCTGCGTCGGAGGGGAGATAAGTGCCGATAACGTCTAAAAAGGTGCCTGCTGCTTCGATTGGCTCCTCCTGCAGCTGGGACAGCATCTGCACAGATATATTGCCCTCCCATCATCTCCATTTCACTTTGGGTCCCCAAAAGCTCCAGCAGCAGGGCCGTGCTGTCAGGACAGGAGCCTCAGGATGGGGACAGAGGGACTCCTGTCCCCTTGGGTGCTGTGGCTGTTCCTCTGGGTGCAGCCTTGCAGAGGTAAGTGCCAGCTTCTCTGTTCCACAGCCTTGGGACAGTGGGCAGCAGTGGGGTCATTGGGATCCCTCTGGGAGTGGGGTTGTTTTCAGGCACCACTGAAATGAGAGGCAGAAGGTGCTCAGTCTCTCAGCTCTGTTCTTTAATCTGTGCCTGTCTGGGTGGGAGGGGGTAATCCATTTTCATATCTCTTATGTTTTTGGCAGTCCAAGCCTGACTTCATTTCTAGACACCTTGTCCTTGGGTACCTTTCTGGGACCCCTTGTTCCCCAGCACTGTGCCTCTGGATCTAGAGGAGTCCCAGACAGTGAGAGTGGCCCTCAGTGAGCTCCAGGGCACAGCCAATGTCGGGGGTGCCCCAGAGGGGTTGTGTGATGTTCCCTGCACCTGGAATCTGGGGAAGCACTGACTCCAGGAGGGCAGATTGTGTCCCATTAACAGAAGGGGACTGAGGCATTTGCACTGAGAGGTGCTCTTCTTGGGGGCCCTGGTCAAGCACAGGGGCCAGTCTGACAGCAGGGATTAGGAAGGAATGTGGGCTGTTGGTATCCTTGCCGTCAACCCAGACAGTGGGTTTGGGAGGTGCCTGTGGCAGACAATGGGCAATGGAAGCTGCTCAGGGGCATGGGGCTGTTTGGGGGACACTGGACAGGGGAAGAGTGGGAGCCCCATGCAGGGCTGGGGGCTGTGTGGGGGTGGGCATGGGTGGGGGCACGGGTCCGCTGGGGTGGGAGGAGGTGGTGAGGGCTGTGGGGCAGCAAATGGCCCAGGAGGGCTAGAGCTGGGTACCCCCAGCCCAGCATAGCCCATGGGGAGAGGAGGAACCCCCCACTGCCCCTGAGACAGCCTATGGGGACAGGGATCCCACCCTGGGAACTGGGAATCTGCCTGGGGAGGGGGTCCTCATGGACCCACAATGTGGGGCTCAAAACTCTCCTGACCCTTCCTGTGTTGGTGTTTGAAGGGGCTGCGGAGGTGAGGCTGGTGGATGGCGGCAGTCGCTGTGCTGGGAGAGTGGAGGTGAAACATCAGGGCCAGTGGGGGACCGTGTGCCATTACGGCTGGGACATGACTGATGCTGCAGTGGTTTGTAGACAGCTGGGCTGTGGGGGTGCTCTCGAAGCTCCTCGGAGTGCACACTTTGGACCAGGATCTGGGCCCATTTGGATGAATTATGTTGGCTGTCGTGGAACCGAGTCTGCCCTGTTTGACTGCACACACAACGGATGGGGTCAAGCAAACTGCCTTCACAGATGGGATGCTGGAGTGACATGCTCAGGTAAGGACTGAACTTGTTCCCTACTTCTGGGACGAGGACACTTCTAAGGGACCTGGCTGTGACCTCAGGAAGCAACAAGTGCACACCAGAACATGGCTCTGTGTGTCAAGTTGCACTCTGAGCTGGGTCTGTCACTGCTGGTGTCCCTTGTCCCTGGGGAAAGCCCAGTGGGAGCACACTGAGCCTGGCCCTGAAGCTGGAGCAGCCAAGCCTGGGGAGGTGCCTGGGGCTGGGAGAGGAAAGCCCCCACCCTCCAGCTCTGCCATCCACCAGCATCCTCAGGGAAGGGCATGCAATGGCCCAGGACTTTTGGGTTGTACCCCCAGCAGACAAGAGAACCTCAGCCAAAGCAGAGGGGCTGCTCAGAGGGCAGGAGCACTGGGCTTGTGCAGAGGAATAGGGTGGCAAATGGCACCTTGTTCCTGTCCTGGGGTCACCCATGAGAGCCAGCCCCTAGTGATATGGCCCCTCCAGGCCTTGCTGACCCACTGCTCAGCCTCTCCTGCCTGCCCTGTGCCCCAGGGGCTGTGCCAGCACCTCCTGGCTCTCCTCGGTGCCTGCCCTCACACCGGGAGCTCGTGTCAGCCCAGGGCTGCTCTCTGCCTGCTTTCCTGACCCATGCATGGTAGGTGGCTGGGGACGTGCATGCCCAGCACCACACTGTCCCGACTGGAGGACCCCCCTTTGCGGAGGATCCCCCAATGTGCCCCATCTAACAGGAGCTCCCCAAGAGCCCCAGCATTCACTGGAAACAGGGGGGCTTTTTAGCAGATCCAAGGATTTCTTCTAACTGGCCTGAGCCTTGTGGGGCAGAGCAGGCTGAAGTAGCCCCCAGTTCCTGGGCCTATTTCCCCAGGCCCATGTGCTGCGGGTGCTGCAGTGCTGGGTCTGGGGCCGGGCAGCCCAGGGGCTCCGGGCAGCAGCAGTTTGAGAGGTGCCTGCAGCTGGGGGCTTGGAAAAGAGGACATGGGTGCTGGGCTGGTTTCTGAGGAGCAGTAGGGGGGCCCTGACCTCTTTGTGCCACCAGCACCTTCTCAGAGCTGCTGGGCTGGCTGGGGGACTCTGCATGTGGCTGCCTTAGGGATGAGGTGGGAGGTGGGCATGGAAGTGCCAGAGGGCTCTGGGAACTCACAGGTCTCCTTGGTTGCTCCAGGATTTGTGCAGCTGGTCGGAGGGGACAGCCCCTGCTCTGGAAGTGTGGAGGTCTACGACAGGAACCAGTGGAAAGCTGTCTGTCACTCCCACTTTAGTGCCAAAGCTGCCGAGGTGCTGTGCAGGGAGCTGCAGTGTGGCACAGCCCTGTCTGTCCATGGGGCAGCTCAGCTGGGAGAAGGGGCCGGTCCTGTCTGGGACAGAGAGCTGCAGTGTGTGGGGAATGAATTTGTCCTCTCCTTCTGCCCCTGGGGGGCCCCCAAGGACAAGGCCTGCACCCACAGCAATGGCACTCATGTCACCTGCACACGTAAGGACTTGGGGTGGGATGGTGCCCACGGGGGCTGTGGTGGGGGAAGGAGAGCAGGGTGGGCACTGGGCTGTGCTGTGTGGGGGACAGGTGGGGTGAGGTGGTGGTCTGCAGCCCTAAAATTAGAGTGCTGCAGGAGGAGAAAGGCACGCTGTCCCTTTGGCCTCTCCTGCAGCTCCTGTGGGAGCAAGAGCACAAATGTGGCCTCTCTCACCCTCCTTTGTCCCCAGAGTACACAGGGTTCAGGCTGGTGAATGGCAGCACAGCGTGTGAGGGCAGGGTGGAGGTGGAGGTGCTGGGGACATGGGGAACCCTCTGTGCCTCCCGCTGGGACCTCTCGGACGCCCACGTTCTCTGTCGGCACCTCGGCTGTGGCTTTGCTGAGTCCATTCCTGGAGGAGGGCATTTTGGGAGAGGAACCGGCCCCGTCTGGAGAGACTCGTTCCACTGTGACGGGACTGAAGCCCACCTGGGGCAGTGCCCGGTGACTGCCCTGGGGGCCTCGCCGTGCTCCCAGGAGAACACTGCTGCTGTCATTTGCTCAGGTGAGTGCTGGGCAGTGCTGCAAAGTCCATTTGCCCCTGGTGTGTGACACGGCCACACAAATTTGGGGAGCTCATGGCAGAGCCTGGCTGAATGTCTGCTCTCACCAGGCCTAACTCACCCCATGCCCCTGCGGTTGGTGGGCGGAGGGAGCCGGTGTGACGGGCGCGTGGAGGTCTTCCAGCACGGGACATGGGGCAGAGTCCTGGATGAGCAGTGGGACATGCAGGAGGCCAGCGTGGTGTGCCGGCAGCTGCAGTGCGGAGAGGCAGAGGCAGCCTACACCCCCGTGAGGGCCGAGCGAGGACGAGGACCTGTGGGGCTGCGTGGGGTTCAGTGTGCAGGAGAAGAGGCTGATCTGAGCCTCTGCAACACCTCCCTGCCTGAGAGCACACCAGCAGCAGGGATCATGGAGGATGTGGGGGCCGTGTGCCGGGGTGAGTGGTGCTGCACGTCCCCCATCTGTGGGGCTGGGAGGGCAGCCAGCCCCTGAGCATCAGGGTTCTCCACGCTGCAGGGAGCCGGCGGGTCCGGTTGGCAGACGGGGCTGGGCGCTGTGCCGGGAGAGTGGAGATCTACTACCAGGGGCGCTGGGGCACCGTCTGCGACGATGCCTGGGACCTGGCCGACGCCGCCGTCGTTTGCCGCCAGCTGGGCTGCGGAGGGGCCCTGGAGGCAGCCGGCTCTGCTCGGTTTGGGGAGGGCTCTGGGCAGATCTGGCTGGATGGCGTCAACTGCTCCGGGGCCGAAGCTGCTCTCTGGGACTGCCCTGCCGAGGCCTGGGGGCAGCACAGCTGCGGGCACAAGGAGGACGCTGGAGTCATCTGCTCAGGTCTGTGCTGGGAGTGGGGAGGGGATCTGGGGCCAGTGAGGCTGGGGCAAGGGTAGAGCCAGGTAGGGCCAAGGCCATCAGTGGCTGACATCCAAGGACGTCCCTGGGGCCTTTCCTCCTTCCAGAGTTCATGGCCCTGAGGCTGGAGAACAGTGACGGCTGCTCCGGGCGCCTGCAGGTTTTCTACAACGGGACGTGGGGCAGTGTTTGCTCCAACTCCATGACCACCGAGACGGTGTCACTGGTGTGCAAGGAGCTGGGCTGCGGGAATGAAGGAGATCTGGAAACAGATTCTAACTATGCCAAGCTGTCTGGCACCGCATGGCTGGATCACGTGGAGTGTGGGAAGAGCAGCAGCTCCTTCTGGCAGTGTCCCTCTGCTTCCTGGGATCCGCAGTCGTGTACTGACCTCCGAGAAGAGACCCACATCACCTGCAATGGTAAATCTGAGCCATCGAGGCACCGGGTCCTGTTCCCCACTGGGTATGGTGAAATGCAGAGAAGGAACCCAGAGGGGCTTTGACTTCCTGCATTAGACCCTGTTGCTACTGGTACACAAAGGTGACTTCAGCTCTTGGAGCCACCCATGTCCACCAGCAGCAGTCAACAGCCGGGCTGCCAGCAGCCCCTGGGGGATGCAGAGGCAACTCCAGGCAAGGTCTGAGAGGAGACCATGCAGGGCTTTCAGGAGTCCTCCCTCCTGGGACAGCCTCCTGCTGCTCTATGAACCAGGGACCCTGTGGGGCCGAGCACTTGGGTCCCCCCTGCAGTGCCGTGTGTGTCCCCTGAGTGAACAGGGTTCTGCTGCTGCCCTGACCCAGGCAGCATGGGGACGTGTGAGCAGAGGTCAGCTCTGCTCTCTTCTGCACGACCCCCAGAACAACCCTTTTCAGCCCAACTTCTCTTTCTTTTGGGACATGGACAGAAAGGCCGCAGGTGGCTGCATGCCCCAACTCCACCAGCTGCACAGGTAGGGAGCTGCCCCTGCGCGTGCCCCCCTCACCTGGCAGGGCTGTCCCAGCTGTCCTGGTGCCATGGGTCATTGCTGCCTCCCCAGACAGGGAGAAGATCCGCGCTGTGGGAGGCAAGGACGGCTGCTCGGGCAGAGTGGAGATCTGGCACCGCGGCACCTGGGGGACGCTGTGTGACAATGCCTGGGACATGCGGGACGCCGAGGTGGCATGCAGGCAGCTGGGCTGTGGCCCCGCGGTCTATGCCCTGGGCCAGGCTGCTGCTGGAGAGGGGACGGGCCCCATGTGGCTGATGGAGTGCAGGGGGACGGAGCTGTCTCTGCAGGACTGCTGGGCCCAGCCAGGGGACAGCGCTGCCTGCCAGCATAAGGCAGATGCAGCTGTGCATTGCTCAGGTGAGCAGTGGGGCTGGGAGACATGGCTGGGGGCTTGGCAAGGAGCTGGCTTTGGCATCTACCCTGCTGGATCCTGGCATGGCCCCAGTGCGGGACCAAGCAAGGGTTTCCCTGCAGAGTGGGAGGCTGGTGGTGGGTGGGGAGCAGCCTCTGTGGGGCTGGATGTGCCAGCACATCCCCTGGGCTGCCTGCACTGTCCTGTGAGCAGCCCAGAGCAGTGGTGCTGGGCCCTGTCCCTGCCACCCTGCTCAGCCCCACAGGAGGGACAATTCAGGTGGCACATGCTGGGGTCATTTGCCAGGGAGGCTGCCTGGTGCCACAGCCCCAGCCTCTTGTCCCAGCTCTCCTTCTGCTCCCCTGCAGCTGCACCCAGGACAGCAACATTACCCCCACAAGCAGGTAAGCTGTCCTTCCCCTGGGGCTGGGTCTGAACATGGCCGAGCTGTGACCCACAGCCAGGGGAAGGGGCTCCTTGCTGGGCTGTGAAATTGAGGGAGTTGGGAGAAGTCTGTGATGGGGGAGTTGGGGTGGGAGCAGGGTGGGAGCTACCCCATTACCCAGCCCTATCCACCCCAACCCCTGCTGCCTTGTGTGGTCAGGAGTGGCATGTCCTGCCCCCGACCTCTCCCATGCCTGATGCTGTCCCTGCCATGTTCCTGACAAACAGATTCGCCACGGAGCCGTCTGACCACCAGCAGCGAGAGACTCTCGGTGCCTGTCGTCATCTGCATCATCCTGGGGGCCCTCCTCTGCCTGCTCCTGGCCCTCCTGGCTGGGCAGGTGCGAAGCGCCAGGGCTCGGCGCAGAGGTGGGTCCTTCCCCAGTGGTCCTGGGGGGGGAGATGCCTCCTGGCAGGGCTGGGGGTGCTGGGGGTGTTGGTGTCTTGGGGCACAGAAACAGAGCCGTGTGCTGCCTCCGGCCCCATGTGCTGCCCCACTGACTGACAAACCATGGGGCACCAACATCAAGGGGTGGAGAGAGCCCAGAGCCTGAGGCATCCGTTCTGGGGTGAGAAGAGAAATGTGAGAGCTGGGCTGGGTGAGAAGGGGAGGATGCACTGCTGGCAGTGCTCTGGGCAGCACTGGCAGGAGGAACGTGGAGCAGCGGAGTCCATCACCATGGTGTCAGCCACCCCCCAGCAGGGCACGGGCTGTGCTATTGCTGTGTGGGGCAGAGATGGAGCAGCTCCATAAAAAGCAGAAATGTGGGAATTGGTGCATGGTCTGCACTGGGACATGACCTGGGGGCCAAAGGGGCACAAGGGCTGTCTCCAAATGTGAGGCTGATGCTGCCCCAGACCATCTCCGTGGGGATGCTGCCCTCCCTGGGGATGTGGCCTCAGTGCCAACACAACACAGAAGGGCTGTGTTGTGGGGACAGCCCTGTGCTGGCCTAGGGAATGGGGTGAGGGAGCCCAGTGGGCTCCTCTCTGCCCATGCCCAGACCAGCCCTGCCTCTGTCCTCAGGTTCTGTGAGGGCTGGGGAGCCCTTCCCTGAGGCCGTGTACGAGGAGATCGCTTACAGCCTGGCGTGGGAGAAGCAGCCAAGGTTCAGTCTCTCAGGTGGGTGCAGGTAACCTGTGGGGGCACATCTGCTGTGTCCATTCTCCGTGTCTCAGACCAGGGCTGTGCCCTGCAGCTCCTGCCCATGGTCCCTGAAATGGTTGGACCATGGCGTCTGTGGGAGAGCATCCAGGTGTTGGCCCCCCCAGAGGAGCTTCCTCCCCACCAGCTCTGCCCATCCCAGAGGGGATAGCCCCTCTCTGCTTGTCCCTGCACCTTATTGAGAGCTAAGGGCTAAGCAAAGGGCTGTCCCAGGGCAGCTCTGGGAACCTCTCTGGGGAGTGCCTTGTCCCAAGGGAACTGGTCTCCTCCCCATGCACCCCCAGCTTCTGTGGGTGCCCATCCCCAGCAGTGCTGACCACCAGTCACGGCAGCAGGGCTCATCCCACAGCACCCACTGCAGCTCTCTGCAGCCTCCTTTTCAGAGGGGTCCCTGACCCAGCTGCAGCCCTACCCCAGGCACATGAGGAGGAGGATGATCTGGGGCAACACCCAGGGTTAAGAGGTGTGGGGGGGAGGAAGGGCTCCATTTCTATGATTTCTCCTCCCTGCAGACAGACCAGACAGACAGCAGTGGCCACCGAGTGTTATCATCAGAGCTGGAAGCATGAAGGCTCTGCTGTGACCCTGACACCAGCAGCATGTCAGCCCTGTGTCCCACACACCCTCCCATCCTCTGCTCTGCAGGACATCTCTTCTCATTGCCACCACCTTCCCTCTCCTTTCAGATGTCCCTGTCCTGCCCGGAGGTTACCCAGCAGATGGCTATGATGATGCTGGGGAGGTTTCTGACCCTGGGGAGGATCCTGTCCCTGGGCAGGGGGACTGGGAAGTGTCCAGGACACCAGAGGAAGGAGATGGGCGCAGGGATGCAGCCACAGGTGAGAGGGCAATGCAGCACTGCCACTTCCTAGGTGCCAACCCCAGGCCTAGGAGAATCCATGGCATATTGAAAGCCTGACAATCCATGGAGAACCTGTCCTGGGAGATTTAGTGGGGGCTGGGAGAATGGGCCGAGTGTCTCAGGCTGGTGAGGACGAGGAAGGTGATAAACAGCCCCGAGGCGTACCCCACAGGCCCAACCACAGCAGCCTGCCTTGATGCTTACAGGGGGAAGCCTGCACTCCCGGAGAAGTGCTGGGATCCCTGGAGCTGAGGGAGACACCTCGTCAACTTTCCTGGGGACCACGGGCTATGACGATGTTGAAGAGGTGTCTCTGGCATATCCCCATGAGGACACCGAGGGTGTGACACCAGAGCCCCATGCACAAGAGTTCCAGAGCCCCATGCCAGCAGAGCCCAGCCCTGCTGAACAGCTGGGTGCAGCCGGGAGGGAGGAGAGCTCAGTGCCATTGGGAGAACCGTGAGTGCCAGGGAATGGTCTCCCTTTTCCAGCAGTCAGCAGACACACATGGGTATTTCCCCTCTTGGTATTCCCCTGTATTTATGCTGTGTGTTGGTATTTCCTCATATTAAAACCCTCTGGGCGCTTTGCCCCAGATCCAGTCTTCCCTGACCATGTTTCTGGGCGTCTCCCTGAGGCTGATGGAGGGGAGAAGAGCTCAAAGATCCAGCGGTTGGGAGGGGACACATCTTAGAGCCAGCAGGATCAGTGTCTGGCTTTGGGGCTGACAGAGCCCCTGGTCCCTGGACACTATTCCTACTGACAGAGACATTTCTGTCCTGCCAGCCACAGGCAGTTTCCAGACAAAGTGGATCTCTGGGAAGCCCCATGAGACAATCCCTTGCAGTGCCCACCTTCTACTGCCTTGGGCCCCCACGGAGCCTAAGGATGCCTGCCCAGCACCCATGGGCAGAGATACCTCAGTTGCAAGAGGTGAACAGGGAGATGTCTTGGACCCTTGGGCAGGACTTGGCACCAGCTCCTGTTGGTGGGTCCCCACAGCCCTCCAGGTCTTTCCCAGCAGGCTCCTCTGCTGCAGGCTGGGAGGTGCTTTTGTTAGTGGGATGGTGGGCTGGAACACCTATTGGAGCATCTATTTAATCCCGTTGGGTCAGCTGTCCTGGCTGTTTATAGTCTTCTCTGGGTCAAGAACTGGCTGGAGGGCCATGCCCAGCGGGTTGTGGTTAATGGAGTTAACCCCAGTTGGCGTCCCGTTACAAGTGGTGTCCCCCAGTGGTTGGTACTGGAGCCTAGCTTGTATAATACCTTTATTGATGACCTAGATGAGGGGATTGAGTACCCTCAGTAAGTTTGCAGACGACACCAAGTTGGGAGGTAATGTTGATCTGCCTGAGGCTAAGGTGGTCCTTCAGAGGGATTGGGATAGGCTGGGCTGAGGCTAATGGGATGGGGTTTAACAAGGCTAAGCACCAGATCCTGCACTTTGGCCACAACAACCCCATGCAATGCTATAGGCTTGGGACAGAGTGGCTGTGAAGAGGAAAGGGACGTGGGAGTGATGATCGATGTTTGGCTGAACATGAGCCGGCAGAGTGCCCAGGTGGAAAGAAGGCCAATGGTATCCTGGACTGTGTTAGTTAGCCAGTGGGAGCAGCGAGGTGATCATCCCCCTGTACTCAGCTCTGGTGAAGCCACACCTGGAGTACTGTGTTCAGTTTTGGGCCTCTCACTACAAGAAAGACATCGATGTGCTGGAGCGTGTCCAGAGAAGGTCAACAAAACTGGTGAGGGGTCTGGAGCATAAGTCCTATGATGAGAAGCTGAGGGAGCTGGGGTCATTTAGTCTGCAGAAGAGGAGGCTCAGGGGAAACCTCATTGCAATCTACAACTTCCTGAAGTGAGGCTGTGTTGAGGAGGGGTTCGGCCTCTTCTCTCAGGTAACTGAGGCCAACTGGATCACTTTTCTATGTCCTCGTTTTGGGCAGAATACCCACCCAAGGATCTCCCTCCCGCTGCTCAGGGAAGGGTTTCAGCTGAGTCAAACCAGGCATCTCATACTTTGTTTACAGTTCAGAGGCTAGAAAGGGGCTTAGCTGCCTCTCCCATGCCTCACAGCAGCCCACAGGAGCTGGGATTCCTCTTGCCTTGGTTCAGGTGGGCACAAACCAGGCAGCATGTAAGCTGCTTGTCTCAGCTCCCAGCACATTGAATGCAGACAGATGCAGGAGGGAGCTGTTCAGAGGCAGACACAAAGTGATATTGGAGTTGGCAGAGTGACATCTGAGTGACATTTGAAGTGCCAGTTTAGGTTGGATATTAGGAAGAACTTTACCAAAAGGCTTGTTAGGCATTGGGATGGGCTGCCCAGGGAAGTGGTTGAGTCACCATTCCTGGAGGTCTTTAAAGATCATTCAGTGGTAGAGCTTAGCGATATGGTTTAGAGGAAGATTTTTATTGTTAGGTCGGAGGTAGGACTCGATCTTGGAGGTCTCTTCCAACCTAAATGATTCTGTGATTCTGTGATCATCTGGTCCAACCATCATCTGGGTCAAGGCAAATACAGGCTGGGAGGAGAATGGGTGAAGTGATTCTCCCCCTCTACTCTGCTTGTGTTTGAAGGAACAACTGGCAAGAGTGGAGAGGCATCAGTGAAATCATGGGAATAGCAGAGTGAGAGCAAGGTGGGGAAGAGAAGTGGCTGCAGCTTTCAGAGAGGAGTGGGACAGCACAGGAAAGCCTGCAGAGGAAAAGGCAGACGGCTCTGACAAGAATGAAAGGCTTCAGCGGCACTGACATCTTTGTCCCCACAGCCATGGCTTATGAGGGTACAAGTTATACTCATGGCATTGGGACCATGTATTCTCCATTCATCTGTGTGCAAATGCTGGGAGGTGTCATACTATTGTCCTTCACATGATATTATGGGAATCACCCCCTACCCCACAGCCTCCAGCAAGAGCCCCGAGTGAGACATGGGGGTGCAGAATCTCTCCTCCAGGCTGGGGTCAGGCCTTGGCCTTTCTGCTTTTGTCTGAACAAAACAAACCAAGACTTTTCTCAGCACAGTGCTTTGCCTATCTGTAATCGTGGCCTCCAATTGTCTGCCCTAACAAGTCCCTGAGGAGAATCTCTTGGTAACAGCCCTCAGTGGGGCCCATTAATACTCCAAGTCACTTCAACTTTTCCTTCTGACTTTACTTGCTCAAGCAATTGCATCATTCTCCTCTCAGTACCTGATGTTCACAGACTGAGCACCAAAATCCACCATGGAATTCATTAAAATGCAGAAGCACTTAAAAAAACATATGTCTTCCATAGTGTTATTCATGTCCTCAAGACTTGAACAGCTAATTGGAGAGCTTTCATGGTGTAGTAAAGGAGGATGATTTCAGAGAGCACCTAATAAAAATCTTTTCTCATTTTAAAGGGTGAATTTTGTTGCATTTCAGTTTTGAGCATCTTTATTCAATTGATATTAATCCTGGGCGTCTCCAATGGAGACGTCCATAGGGAGGAAAATCAGACTCTTGAGGTCTGACAGCGCATGGACAACCTTGCTCCTCACCACCCCAACCCTGACATTTCTCTCACTGGCCACCTGGCGCTTGCATCACTTTTCCTTACACCAGACTTCTGCACTGAAGTCTGCAGCTGGATGTTAGAGCCCCTTTGCACCAGCTCCCTCCTGCTTTCCTTAGAGACCTGGTTGCACACAGAAAGGTTCTTCCTTATTATAAAACAGGCAGGAATAAACAAGGAGCAATTATCCAAACAGCAAAACAAGCTTCCCATCTTGTATGTCTCCAGTCAGGTTTACCTTCCCAAAAGCGTGGCTGTAAATTAAGTATTTTATACTCATTGATAGGAATTTATAGGTATTAAGGTTACTGTTATTCCATATGATCTTAATTCAATGATAAATGATGAGGTGCTTACAACTGAAACAATTAGGCAGATGGCTAATCGATGGGCAAGTTTGAACTCAATGCATCTCAAAGCAGCAACTGGGTCAGTGAGAGCACTCTGAATGATCAAAGAATAAGGGGAGGAAGAAGCAGGAGAACCATGGGAAGTGCATAGGTCCAGACAGGCAGCTGGAAAGGGGACATTCAACAGGGATTGTTTATTCTAGATGGGTGGAAGTGCCTGGAAGATGAGGGAATACACAATGATGGACAAAACGATGACGATGCAAGTACAGGTGACCATCAGTATTTCTTCTCCTGTGATGAATATAGATCCTGAAAATTCACCTGAAGAAGGATATAGGTCACTGATAAAGGAAGTGTCTTTTTATGCTATCACCAATGCGGATTACACTAACACTTCCACACCTAACAGTAATATGTCTCACCCCATATATACCATCCTGTGGGGAAGAAGAGAGGGAGCTGACAGCCAAGGGACACATTTGGGTGTGGAAAGTGGAGCCCAGCAGAGACAAGGAGTCAAGGCAGTGGGGTGGGGGAGGCCAGGAGAAGCAGCCCAAGGGGTGGTGCTGCTTGTGAGGACACATTTGTGCCAGAAGCCTGAGTGGGCAGCAGCTGTGTGGAGGCAAGGGGAGGCCAGGGAGCACATGCCAAGAGCCCTCCTGCCAGCAGAGACAAGTCTGGGGCTGAGGCCAAGGGGAGAGGCAGGCCCAGGGCAGGGGGCTGCAAGGGCCATGCTGAGCTCCCTGCTGGGCTGGGGCCAGCCACGGCTCAGGAAATGGAGGACCCTGAGCTGTGCTGCTGTGCAGGGCCAGGGGGCTGTGGTGCCTGAGGACCCCCGGAGGATTCTGCCCTGCCTGTTTTTCTCCAGGTGGTCATCAGACCCAACTCCATGGGGATCTCTGCTGCTGAGCCCCTTTCCATCTGCCCTAGTGTCTCAGCAGCACAGGGCAGTACTTGCAGCATTATGGGTTGTCTCTAAGGTCACAAAGGGCAGGTAAGTGCTGCACCAGACCTGGCCCGTGAGTCTCCAAAGAGGGTGTCCTCAATTACTCTGCATTTATGGGCCTTTGCCTGCTGGCAGTTCACTTCTTCTCATGGCATTGCAGAGCCCCCATAGCCCATGGACTCCTCAGATTCAACTTTACCAGACCCTTCTTTTGATGGTCACTCAGATGCGGTTCTAGTCACTACACATGGAACACACTGTCCCTGAGTTCCTCTGACATCTCCTGGCAGCTCCAGATTCCTCTCCAGGCAGACATCGACCATCAGCCCTACTGCAGGGGGCACAGTGCTATGTAGATGAGTCCAAAAACGGTTGTTGTCTAATTGGGCAAATGCCACCATAAATGGTCCAGGACAAGTTGCTGTCAGAGAACCCTGGGACTTTAAGCCGGTGTCCTTCATTCCATGAACTTGCCCAGAAAACAAAGAGCAGGGAGCAACCCCTAGGCTCTGTTCCTGACAGTAGCACTGGAAGAGGTGTCCAGGCTTCTGGGTTTGCCTTCTGAAGCCCCTTTTTTTACTGTCATGTTAGCAGGGAGCCCAGCTCTGTCACTGGCACATTCCCTTCTGCTGCCTACAGCCACAGGACTGTCACAGGCAAAGGACTGTCACCTGGGTACACAAGGTCCTTCTGTGGGCTAACAGAAAGTGGCAAGGCCGCGTGGTGCCCGAATCCCCCCTGCCACGGCATTTCTGAAA